GTTCACAACCCAGCATACTTGTGGAACAGTCAGTCTACTTCAATGTTCCACCGTTTCGCACTCCTCATCACGTTGATGTTTATTTTGCCCTTTACCATTATACTATCCCTTTGTATCTCAAACTGTCACCCAAAATAAGCTGTGTCTTCAGCCTCACTAAAGACGTAGCTTTCGTTCATGTCCGGGTAACAAATAAGCATTTATTTTCCACTAACTTTTCTTCGCTCTCAAATTGACCCGAAACGCTGAACCAATGAAATTGGGGCCAACACAAAACTATATATTGTGAGCATCCCGTTGCCTTTGGCTGTATTCTGGACCGGCGAATTTTTATGTGAAATGTGGAAATCACGTGCCTTGTTTTCTTCTTCGGTCTCCTCTTCAGGGATCTTGCAGTCCAAAACACATTTGTCGAGTTTATCGACATGTAGGCCCTGAAACACAAATGTAATCTCATGACGTTATTCGCACACACACGTTTTTTAAATCTGAACAATATGTATTCATAGAGGTGAAAACATAAATGCTGCTTGTCACTACAAGGAAGGAACAGCCATCTCACCGAAGAATAGAGATATAATTCATTTGATTCAAGTCGAAGTTCTCTAGAAAGCCTCATTCTAATTTATACGACTACCTTCTGAGAGGTCTTCTGAGCCGTTTTCGGGAAATTTTTCCATTCGTTCCCAAGGAATGTGTCAGTTGTAATCACTAGGGACAACGTACAAAAATTCATGCAGGAACATTCCCTTTTAAGAGAAACAAGTGCCAAAACCTTACTCTATGGGCTCGGGAGTAAGTCGGACGGGAACAACGAACTCAATGAAGGAGTGAAGTTAAACGTTCGAATTCGTGAATAGAGACAAAGCGATCGATAGGATAAGATGCAATAGAAAAAAGGATTGCTTGAGGAACGTCCAGCAATCGTTTTTTATTGCATCTTATACTATTCGTCTATTCGTCAAAACGTTGAGCCTCTGAGGAACACTCCACCAGTTTCGCCATCCGATTCCGGTAGTGAGCTGAGCTCAATAAATCTTCCAAAGCGTAGAAGGACCGAAAATCTCACAGCGGAGGATGATAAAAGCTGCCGACCTGGATCTGCGAAGAAGAACTTATCAGACTCGTTCGGCCAATAGAAGGAACCGGCAAAGTATATCAAGAAAAAGGATTGTTATAGCCATAAATGGAAAGTGCCAAAACAGGTTTCCAGCGAAGACCAAGTTTCTTCGAAAACTAAATGCAATCGCTTCTGTTGCCAACCTTTGTGTTCGGTGTACGGCGCGAAAATGAGCGCATATGTTAGCTCCTCTGGTTTTTCAAATTTTTAAATCAAAACACGCATTTTTTTGTTCTTTTATTCCTTATCGTGGAGGATGGGTCTCGAACCGATGATTTATGGGTGAGATGGAAGCATGATTTTTCTGTAGACGATCGATTCCTTTAAGTTTTTTCTGTCTAAATCCAAAGCAATCATGCTAGACGGAAGACATCTGAATTCCTCTAGTTTGTGATTCAGCCACCCTTCCTATCAACGTGCCCCGCAGTTACTGGACTCTACGCACCAAGGACGAGCATTCAGTCAGCTTTATTCAACATGCTGTGGATAGGACTTGTTAGAGTTCACCGGTCCAAGCAAGTGGAGAGGGGAAACCGGAAATCGAATCTCAGCCAACGATCGCACATCAGCGACTCTGCTGCACTTGCTATGGAAATGTAGTTTTGCTAAGTGTAGGCTTTGAATGATCACTAGCTGAATCCTCCGGGAGGATAGGCGGACATCTGAATAACCACCCACTCATGATCACACCTTATGAATGTTGAAGGCACCTCTACGATCAGTTCACTGGACTGATGTCCATTCTGAAAATGGTAAAGCTCTCCACAATAACGCAGTATCCAACGAATTCGCTGTATGAAATTGTCAGGCAAGGTGCCAAGGTCTAAGGATGCTCATGAGACCCATCTGCACACCTTTCGTCCGAAACGGACTTATGGGCCAAATCCACCCTCCTCGTGTCTGCGCTCGTTACCTGTCTTTTCAATAATCTGAGCGCCTGGTATCTCTTATCTCGATGTATCCCTCTTGTATGGCCCTACAGCCTAGAAAAAGAAGGTCAACAGTTTTTAGTATTTTTAGTGGCTTCGTGCCATTTTTTTCTTCACGGCCGGTTCACGCTGCTTCTCTACTTCCATTTTTCCACAGACAAATTGTACCCATTTGATCATGGTGTGTGCCGTCAAGCACATGGATCGGTGTACTTCCCCTTGGTGCAAAGAAGTCTGACTTCATGGCTCCCCAAAATGGCGGATAGATGGAATGGTTGGGATCGACATAACGACCTGTACTTAGGTGTGCTACCAATCTTCAGCCACATTCATCGATAGCAAGAGTGGATTTGATAACAAATATGAGAGCGCCAGTGCTGCGTGACTGAATATGCGAAAGAAACAGACGAAAACACCTTGTGTGAGACTACGTCCTTGTACTTTTCTATGGCACTGCAAGCGGACCGCAGAGAAAACAGTGAGTGTTCGAACAAGAGGCTTTAACCACTGCAACATGGGAGTTCAGGAAGACGCAGACACCACCGAAAAACCAATGGCATTTCGTGAGCGATATAAGCCACGCATTTTGGAGCCTTGAAGATTGTACAACGTGTTCTACCTAGTCTACCTCGTAAGCGGACCAGAATTTACCACTTAAGTAATCACGGAAGTGCTTTCATATATATCTTTCATATAATTTAGGAGCCACAGTAGCATCCAACCTCTTTCTGACCATCTCAGACTCTTGCCACCTCAAAAGAAGAACAGGACCGGCTAGACTCTTTTTAATCAGATGCCTAGCCGCAGTGATTTCTTAACAAAAGAAGAGTATTCCACAAAGTGCAAGAAAAACATCTCTATAAGAGCGGTGAATCAAAACGGTAGTTATAGCGGTGTTCGCTTTCGGCGTGTTTCTACAATAAGCAATGCGACGTTAAATCCAAGAGCACATTGTGCTAGTAAATATATATTTGGCAAAAAAAGTTCTACAAAAAAAATTTGTGGAAAGAAAAAAAGCGAAAATCACATGAAGGTCTGGTGAGAAAACATTCACTAGAAAATGAAAGTGAAAGTTCAGAAGAGAGAAAACTTACTTTGAACATGTTGGTTAGGGATTTACACATTAGTTGAGCTGCTTCATGTTTACTGCACAAGTTACTCATCGCTCGAATGTATTCTTGAAGCTTCAGATTCAACTAAAATGAAAACGTTATAGCATAATCAGAACAGAACCCATGCCATATACGGGCACTTGCTATCCAGTACTTAACTACATACATAATAAATGCCATGAATGCCCCTAACAAGGGAGGTCTTTCAGGGCAAGCCGCGCTTTTTGGAAACGGTTTCTTGCATATTGTAGGGACGCATGTATGGACCACAAAACCATGTTTCGTTTTCGCTGAACGGTTTTAGTAGTACCAAAAAAGTGGTGAATGATACCCTTGATGGTTCGATCCCCCGCGGCGACTAAATTTTGCAATCAAGGTTGGCGGCCACTTGTTGGCTTCAAAATGGTCCTGACGATGAATTGACATCTGATTTTGACATTTAGCGCGATTTGGCACCAAACCGTAGGCGCCAACCCAAATGCAAAATTTAGTCGCCACGGGGGATCGAACCATTAACAGTACCTTATGCTTCTTTTTTGGTACTGCTAAAACCGTTCAGCGAAAATGAAACATGGTTTTGTGTTCCCTACATGCGTCCCTACAATATGCACAAAACCGTTTTGAAAAAGCTTGGCTTGCCCTGAAAGAGTTCCCTTGTAAGAGTGCGAACTGAAAAAGAAAGGGCTACCAAGGATTTGAAGGCATGTACACCGACGGCATAGGTGTGGGTTTTTGCGCTTGAAAATGAATTTAGTTGTGATAACTGGTCCATCAGTAATGAAATAGACCAAAAATCTTTGATGGAAGTTTCATTGAATCCCATTACGCTGATCGGATGGGCGGGGTCAGGGAATATCACTGGTCAGCCATTGCTCATGATATGGTACAGTACTGTACGGTACCTCAAATGGATGGGACCTACCAAAGAAATCGCGTAAGAGACGAGGCGCAAGCCTCGCCCAAAGATCACGCCGTATAGTTTCAAAGTTCATAGCAATTAATTCCATCTTTATTCATCACCGTCGCCAACCGCCACATATGCTGTTATTTTCAGACACGGTAACATCACCTACTCAATAGCGTAATGGCCTTGAATAATATCTTGAACAGATTCGTCATTATTGACCATTTCGTTTTTTAACTTCAGTTCGGCTAAGTGGACGTGAAGTGGTGGTAAAAAAATAAGGAGACTATTCTGTGCAGAGATCTGCTCTATTTTAAGCTTTTGTTGGAAGCAAAAAGGGATGGCTATGTAAGAAGCGGTAGCAACTCACATTCGTGCAAGCTTCCTCGTCATCGTCGTGCTCGAGGAATTTCTCGCTTAAGTACGTTCCAGCTGACAATGTCATCTCGCCGATTTTTTCCTGAATAGAAAAATTGGATAAAAAAGAGCGTGAGAGCCTCGGTAATGTTTTGAAAGCAAGTATAACATATGCCTGATATGAGTTGTTCAATGCATATTTCGATTCATAGGATTCCCTTGCAAATGGCTAGACATTGAGTCCTATAACTCGGCCTACAAGGGCATTTTTGCAGCCTTTCATTAATATCAGGAGCCACCAATGAACGTCTCAGCTGTGCTCGGCATTTCGGAAGCTTTCTGATTACCTTCCGAAGGACTGCAACTGCCAACGTTTGCAGGGGCTACTAATTTGGCAGAACTAGACTCTTCTGCGCTGATCGGCACGCTCTGGAGCAGTATGCTTTTATACAATCATTTCTGCGTAGGATGAACCTGGATGGTATCATGACAAGAGGGGATGCTACCAACTGCGCGAGATCGGAACTTGTCTGAGCCCCGTTATATTTTTCTACGATACTTTATATATGTATAATAATAGATACTTCTATATTATGTAGTATGAGGCAACAAAAGCACTGTACTGGACATCCGCTGACTATCGTTGGCCTTGAATGGACACAGACGCCCATATTCGATCTTGAGTGGGAGACTATTTCAGGGCACCTCAAAGCTCAGCCTGAGCACTCATTTCGAAACCATTACTTCAGCTGAATGAAGTAGCAGTAAGAGAAGAATCCTCTAGTACCCCTTCACAAATTCTCCACGAAAGCAACATTTCGGTAATCGTCGTTTTCGGCCAGATCTTTCGATTAACGGCCATCGACAACGCCGCCTCTTTATAGCTACGGCTGCTAACAAGGAAAGGCTCCTCAGGTCGCCATGGCCATTCAAGAAGAGATGTATACGCCTAGATGTGCCTTCGAACGCTGATCTCAAATCTACCTTCCAAATCTGCTAAACGATTCTCTGAACGGAGTTATGAAGCAAAACAGCGCTACGGTAGTGGTCGGGACTCACAGTCAAAACTGTTTTGCTTTCATCAGGAGTACAGGCTGTTGAAGCTGTTTCAGCTATCAGAAAAGCAAGACAGAAAACACGGCAAGGGATCGATCCTGTTACATTTGACTGTGAGTCCCGACCACTACCGTTGCGCTGTTTTGCTTCATAACTCCGTTCAGAGAATCGTTTAGCAGATTTGGAAGGTAGATTTGAGATCAGCGTTCAAAGGCACATCTAGGCGTATACATCTCTTCTTGAATGCCAATGACGCCCTGGAATCCTTTCCTTGTATGACTGCTACCGATCTTCCACTGAAACGGCGCCGGAACTTCGGCATTCATTTGATCGTCACGATGACATCAATGCTGCCGTCGAAAAATTCAAATAAACGAACAGTTTTTTTTTGGGTGAGAAAGCTCTCCCTCGCAGGTACCCTACACTCGAGCTATCCACCTTGTCACTACCGTCAGCCACAATAGACAGCGCTTTACACTTCCTGTACATCTGTTCGCTAGTCTACCCTCAAAGGCCTGACATGATGAGGTCGGCTTTCGCATACGTGTCACTACTTTACAACTAATTGCGGCGATCACGTGACACTGGTCACCTGTGTAAAAAGGTACTTGTTCATATCAATCTGTTGGAATAAACATTCGACCCACCGATTTAAGGCAATCTCTGTGCTTGGTGAGGATTTCTTGTCCTTCCGCTGAACACGCATAGGTGAGGAGGTAGTAGCTCTACAATGAAAATCATTTAAAACTGATGTTTATGAGAGCAGAGTGAACAGTGTACCTTGAGGAATGATCCAGAGTCTTTACGATGAGTCAACAAATCTGATACGGTGTTCGACACTTCGATTACTTCTCGATGGGAGCACTGATGTTGTTCATCGAGATCGTCCTGAAATCGCAAACTTTTTTCTTTAATAATTTTCTACTAGAAATTGTACCGCCACTAATGAGTAGTCATTTTACAAAGTCAAAAGAAAATATTCTGCATTTCAAAGAAGCTTAGAAGAATTAATGGTTCCAGAAATAAAGTGACAAAAAGTATTTCAAAGTACGTGTTAGCTCAGTGGATGCAGGTTCCGCTTGCCATTTGTGTGACACGTGGAACCGAACCCAGCCCAAACCAATAAAGTTTACACCTGTGTTCGCTGACATCACCAAATACATGAACATGCTTGCATCTACGATGCTGAATACTGTTCACATATCTGGCATATTCGAACAGGGTCCTGCTCTATTTTTGAGAAAGAAAAAGTCAAATCTCGTCGGGTCATACTCACTCAAGTGGAAAAATATTGAAAAGAACAAGAAGAAAACAGCATTTAAAGGCAGCGGCAGCAATCAAATCGGTGGGTTTTTTCCCTCGAAAATGAGGCAAGAAGTACGAAAAGGAATGTTAGTGAAAAGAAGCGAAGCGCCATAGAAAACACTGAAGTTGTTCCTGTGTGTTACGATGGAGACACACATGGCTGCGAGGGGAGGGAAAACGCGAAGCAGCATTTCATATGCGAGCGGGCGCAGAGGCCACGAATGCTGTGACTGATGAGAATGGCAGCGGTTGCAGCGACCAAGCGAAGGCATCAGTTCCGCTGTTGCGCATTTTCAAGTCGCAACAGTAAGCACCCCTGTGACTATTGTTTCTCTTAACTCACTCAAGAAGGGAATTTCAAGAAACTAATCGCGATCCGTGCCTTTAAGTAATCCCAGTAAAGTATTGCAGGTACTTCGACAGTTCATCTCAAGCGAGTCGCCAACAGTGGAGTTGTGAACATGAAGAGATTAGAGCGATTCTACTCGATAGTTTTACTGATTAACGCTTATTGAGCACATTGAGCACAAATGTGTCCCTAGCACCTGCCGGAATGGAATGGCCTAGGATCACCTTTCTAACTAGTAGACAAAACGAAAGCGCGAGTAAGCAATCTCGACCATCCACCATGGAGCCAACCGTTGTGAGAGGCGATCGTATGCAAAAACTTTCACTGAATTTGGAATGCATGGCGCATTCCATGGTGAAAGGGAAATTACATTACACTTGTCTGTTCTTGTTTCTTGTTGTGCTTTGATGATGTCATTGAGAGGTGTGAGCTAGAGGCGGAGCTGTACTGCGTGACCCATTCTTCCGCATGGACTATTGCCTTAATGGGTCTTAATAGGTAGCTAGACGATTACGCCACATCAAAGCCGACCGCACAAGCGCTCCCGCATAATCTCATTCCATATTTCCCTCTAGCAAAACCGATATGCCGTAATTACAAACGGGCATAATCACTGGCTTCGTTACTGGTCTCCATCAAAAACAATCACTAGTGAACAACAAACGCGCAAAAAGCAATCTATATTGGGAAAAATATCTTCTATAAAGGATAAAAGGATAAAGCGTTGATCAATCCCTTTTTGGGATGCGGCACGCATTCTACTTCCATTTGTACATTCGTAGTGGCGTTTGAATGCGATGTGGCCTATACAATGACTTGCGGGGGCCAGCCGATGTACAAGTCAGTGTTTTATCCTCCCAGACAAGTCTGGTACCAATTAACCGACCCCGGAGGGATGGAAGGCTTGGTTGGCCCGGGCGACTCACGACCCAGGATTTGATCCCCGGACCGCTCGCGTGGTAAGCGTGCCACTTGCCACTACACCACTTCCGCCCATATCTTCTATAGACTTTACAATTGCAGCGTGGTGATCCAGATGTCCAGCGCGGCAATTTGGGTTGAACCTTCTCCCTCCACCTCGTCATCACTTTGAAGCTAACACGAGCTAGGATCGAACGACACACCTCAATCTCTAGGCCGTCCTCTCATCCTCCTTTCATCACCTGGACTATATCTTGACTTTATCCAAACACTTCCATCGAACGAGAAGGGAGCGCAAATGTACGGCAACAAAAACATCGAAAAGCCGGAATTTTCGCAAAATTCATAAATAATTCGGCTTTCGTGAAATTTTCAAAAACGTACAGGAAATGATGAAAACTTCTCGAAAAACCTTATGTTTTTCAAATCATCCCTAAACCATCACTACACTGCTAATTGCCGCTGAATATGCAGTCATTTCCACAGATACGAATCACCTATTCCTAACATCCCATTCCCTACCCCCCCCCCCCGCTCTCCTCCCATATTGTTAGGAACCCTCAACCTTGCCCACGCTGGAGGAAAGACGCAAAGAAAGTAGCTCTCAACTCATCTGCAAAGCTATTGTTAATGCTCTTGCAAAACGACCACAACAAGTGATTCATGGACAAAACATCATCTTTCAGCTAACAGCACGAATCGTCTACATGATATTGGCAAATTTTAAGCTCTTCTGCCGATTCTAAGTACGCAGCCAATTTTTTCAAACATATATTGAGTGAATCATTCGGCGTGGTCACAAATGATTCAAAATATAGCGCTGCTGCAGAGGTGAGCGTCAATGATTATAAATAGCACAAGGTCGTTGAACTACGAGCTTTCAACCGTTTGACCCTTTCCAGGGATATTTATTTATTTATTTATTTACTTATTCATGCTACATAAGGTAGACGTGAGAAAACAAAACGACAGCACACTACACTATAAGCTCCTACTTCTATGTAGAACTGAAGAGTCTTTTCTTTGCGGCGTTTAAATTGTGGGAATGCTCATGAAAAGTCAAGGAAAGTGAAAGGATTTTAGCCTAGTCATCAATCTGCCTCACAAAGTGTTGTAGGACAGACGTCAACTGAAACACCCTAACCATTCCAGGACGCCGAGTTATGCACACGAAAGAGATAATCAGCGCTATTACTTTATCACCACTTATCATTGACCATCGCCGAACGGTGCTGCCCGTTTGCTACCACATGTTCTTTTCCTCAGAACATTGAGAGGCTGGAATGAGCGCAATTTTCAATAGCGGCTACTTTGCATTGATTCTTCGTCTCTGAAAAACAATTACGATACGTCCCATTGGCACGAAATCAAATCGGAATTGAGTCAAATTCGCCGAATGGAACGCGATTTGTATAGGATCTCAGGCTGCCCGCTTTTGCACATCAGTACTGGGACGGATGGCAATGCTGGATGAAGTACCATGGAAATCTTTCTGAAACTCACCAACCCGATTGTTGCGAGGTGATGCGATATCTTGTCAAGTAAATACGATTTAGGCAGCGTTCCTCGTTCGTGTGCTCCTCCTCATTTCTTGTCCCATGAGACTCACGACGCTCAAACAGCAATCAAACGCCATCGCTAGCCATATGGAATCCCATTTAGGCAAATTGAGAGAAAGCATGGGTGCGAGCGCGAGAGGATCACCAAAGCGCTAGCCCTCCACGACGGCGTCTCTGCTACGCTCTTGTCGATTATGCAGGAAATTCATTGAGTGCCCTTGATTTTTGAAAGTGGAACTTACGGGACAAACCATTTTTTTCACGTACTTGCACTGCGTGTTTTTTCTATGTGGAAAGGTGCTCGCCATTTAGGCTTCGAGAAGTTTTTCAGCACCTTCAAAGACCAGTTGGGACACATAATCCTGAGTCGCCAGCAAAAAAGCACAAGCTCCGTTTGAAGCCTACTATTCATTGACCACTAAAAGTCAAGAAAATATTCTTGGTTCAGAAGATTCGAGCTCCGTTGGGACCTTCGGTAAACTTGTATCGGGAAAATCAGTGACCTCCGACATTGAACTAAACCTTATGCAAAGGAATTGTACCTAATTTCAAAAGTTAACCTCATAAATCTCAAGCTAGCATTTTTGAAGCACTTAAGCAGTAAAATGCTGTCGCAAAAGTACAAGATGTAGTAGAAAGAGACCCAAGCCTTTAAAACGGCATGATCCGAGCTAGTCGCGTTGGCGTTTATACTGTATTTACGAATACCCGACAATGGCCTCTGGAATAGCTGCTGCGCTTCCTAACCTCCCACTCAGGTGACTTCTGCTACTAGCAAGTGTTGCCGACCACTTAGCAAAGCAGTCCCCATGGCAAGCCACTAGTAACGTCGAATCGATCGCTGAGCGAGTGTGAATACGTGAGGTGATGTGAGTTCGTTGAGGTGAGGAAGACAACCGACATCGCAGCGGCGACTCACTAAAAAGGCATCGAGAAAAAATTGCGCCAGCAGATACGCTTGATGTCGCATCGCAGCACGATGCGATCATACGCCCGTAAACAGCGCATATCCTACTTTCGAAATCGCAGCTGCGACAGACTGGTGGACGACTTTCCATTTGTCAGTCATCATTTCGCCTGCTACAATAGGCCAGATGGTGGCGGACGCGACACTCAGTCTGGATTACTGTAATCTTGTCACTCAACAAAAACGAGTCCCGTGCTAACGTCTTCCCGGAAACGTCGAATACCAGGGTCATGATTCTGACAAATGTGCATGTTGTTGAGCTAATGCCTCCGGACTTCGGGTTCACAGCCTTCGCGTCGGCTGATTAGATGGTGCTAACCACGTTGTGTGGAGGTTCGTTTCATTTGCTGGCTAATTCGACAATGAGACTCGCCGAGGGTCATGGCAACCGCCACCGAAGCGACGTCATTATCCTCACTCCCCTAATTCCATTAAATGCTAGAAGACGTGCACAATGAAGACAGACGGAGAATTTCTCGCGTGTGCGACCTCTCGACTCCTTCCACACTTGTGTCCGGGGAAATAATGGCGCTTGACGATCTAGCGTGTGAACTGACATCTTCAAGTGCTCATCTGTTCGCTAATAGCCCCTATAGGTTAGGAGTCGCAAGAATAAGACTCTAAGGTCAATCGAAGTGATTTAGTATTCCATACATTGATCGGATCCCTTGGGGAGTCCCCAACAACGACTGCTGAGGACCGCGTTCGGCAGCTGTTCATATAGATTTGGATTCGTACGCACACACACACATATTTTCGGCATGATTTCTTGGACAGTCCTCTAATCTGCTTATTTCCAATTCACAGTCGGTCGGTTACGGTCACCGCCCTCAGATGATTGTTTAACGCATTAGTTATGCAAATCGCTGTCGGTGATTCGCTTGAAGACGTTCATCACGACGTCTCATTTCCACGTCTTCCAAATGACTAGCATCAAGGCAATGATTCTGCTTTTGGCACTAATGTCGGACTTAAAGTGAGTGAGCCACTTACAGCACCTGGGAATGACCCCTAGAGAAAAAGAGAAAGGACCTTGGAGGAGATTGTGAG